TGCAATTAGCAAATTTCCCTTTTTATGTACATACAGTGGAATTCGTTTATTATGACTCCGTCTATATTGACCAACCGCTTAATGTGAAGTAATTGTAGTGTTAAGTTAGGTTTTCATATTAAATTCTCTATATGTAAGTTTGGATATAATGTCTCCGTTTAAAATGACATATCGTTTATTATGACTGATTCTCAAGAAATCACATCCGGCTGTAATAACTCAAATGATTAATAATAACATTTTCGCTCATTTTTCTGACTCTTGTTATGTATATTGATATTACAATTCATCGTATTTTTTTTCTTTTTCTGTTAATAAATATATACAATTTATAGTTTTTCTCTTTAGTAAACTAAATAACTAACCAAAATAGAAAGTTGTTTATTTTCTAAGATTATGCTTTGTATGACGCCCGCTTAGTATGAGGTGTTTGTCATTTCCTTTCCATGTCATTATAAGCGGATTCTACTGTATCATATAAAGTTTCAGCCAATTTGTACAACAAAAATTATGAGAATTTTACTTCTAATTCTCGATTTAAAAATTTTCAAAAGATTGCAAAATTAAGAAAAAGAAAAAAAAGTATATTAAAATTAAATTTTTACGAATTTAATTTTGAAAAAATTGTGGATACTGATATATGCTTAATTATTTCGTACATTGGAGGGCAGTCATATACCAATAAGAAATTTATTTACCATTTGAATAATATATATCAACGAAATACCTGCTTGAAGTTAACAATAATAAAAATAACAATTAATCAATTTCCTAACTACCTTACCTGTACATCTCGATATGTTCGGCGAATTATAAGAAATTGGTAATTACCTGTAAAAGAAAGAAAGAAAAGAAAAAAATTAACTAAGGTATCACATATAATTAAAAAAAATTCTAATTGCTATATTAATAAGCTGAACAATTAATAAGCTGTTACAAAATCCACTACAATTAATCATGTACTAGTTCAACCCGTTCAAATTAAGTTTATTCAACAAATACGACCCTCTCCCAGGCATCAATTTTACATTTTTCCTACTGAATTCAAAATAACGTTAATTATATGGGACAACGTGTACCTTATGTATCAAAATATCATAATCAGTAAAACAAACATTAATATTCCGAATGTATGTACATTGAATGCAGTTGTAATACTGCAGACGAGTACTAATTCTTGTAAGTTATAACTAACGTTATTTTAAATTGATGACCTAAGTCATTGTTAAAACCGTTGAGGTACTATTATGAATTGGTATACATATTTATTATCAAACCAGTACTAAAAGAACAATAAAGATGTCTATAAATTAGAAGAATATTTGATTAGGTCCTTATACGAGGGTGGATTGATAAGTTTCCGGCCTAACCAAGAGATGACGCCACTAGGCCTACCTTGGGGTGACATTCTATAGTACCATCCTTGGATAGCTTGTAGCTATAGTTTCAGCCCGATCTCCTTGCTAGTGTAGGTTTGACAGCACGNACAATAATAAAAATAACAATTAATCAATTTCCTAACTACCTTACCTGTACATCTCGATATGTTCGGCGAATTATAAGAAATTGGTAATTACCTGTAAAAGAAAGAAAGAAAAGAAAAAAATTAACTAAGGTATCACATATAATTAAAAAAAATTCTAATTGCTATATTAATAAGCTGAACAATTAATAAGCTGTTACAAAATCCACTACAATTAATCATGTACTAGTTCAACCCGTTGAAATTAAGTTTATTCAACAAATACGACCCTCTCCCAGGCATCAATTTTACATTTTTCCTACTGAATTCAAAATAACGTTAATTATATGGGACAACGTGTACCTTATGTATCAAAATATCATAATCAGTAAAACAAACATTAATATTCCGAATGTATGTACATTGAATGCAGTTGTAATACTGCAGACGAGTACTAATTCTTGTAAGTTATAACTAACGTTATTTTAAATTGATGACCTAAGTCATTGTTAAAACCGTTGAGGTACTATTATGAATTGGTATACATATTTATTATCAAACCAGTACTAAAAGAACAATAAAGATGTATATAAATTAGAAGAATATATGATTAGGTCCTTATATGTACAATCATTGTAGAGTGCAAGACGTTGGCATTTCCCGGAGAGGAAGCTTGTTCCACGGAGCCGTACAAGTATTATGAAACAGTTTTTTGACCCACCCCTTCCCGCAACAACGTCTCTCTTTCCCCTTTTAAATGTTACCCAATAACCAAGAGGCAATTTTTGTTTAAAAATGTCAATTATGAACTTATAAATAATTGAAACTCAGTAAAATGTTGTCTACTTCGGTAGGTTTTCTAAATATACAATCCAAAGAAAGAAGACACAGGGGGTTAGGTCTGGTAAACGTGGAGACCAGAGAAGATCACCATTTTGAAAACCACAAGTTGGGGAAGAATGGTTTCAAAGGAGTCCATAGAGATCTTTGTCGTTTGAGTTCTAGATCCGTCGTGCCGAAACTATCAATAGTTAAGAGTAAATTCACACGACAAGGACTTTCTCTATCGTGTGATTTCCCGATATGATGATTTCCGGCCGCCTCTTTTTGACTTTGGGTAATAAAATATCAATCAAAATAGAAAATTTTTAAAATTCATCGGTTTTGGTTTTATCACCTTATACATTACACGTATTATTACATTTTACAATCTACTGATTTTTGTACAGTTTGCACAATTATGATGTTTTTCGATTACAAATTCCGGTCAGTTTTGATTTTACTCATCATCGAACAAAAAAACAAATTTCATCCTTCAATCGCCACTGTCTACTGTTTAAAATTCATTTGACGTTTAACTGTAGAGTTTTTCATCCGGTGCAAGTTGTGTGGTAAACTGAATAATGTTAAGTCGTACTACATGGTGTCCCACAGGACAATGCAATAAACATGTACTTGCCCATTTTTCTACTACTTAGTTTTAAGTCAACTGTTTATTTCACTAATTCGAATATAACAAAATACACACAAAACTGTCGATGCAGCTGTTTCACAACTATTTTGAAACAAATTATATACGATATTTCGGCTATAACGACGACGAAGAGACCACTGCAATTTCGTCGTTACATCCGGAAATTGTTACAGGCAAAGGTAAAGAGATAGAGACATGTATTACGTCAAAATATCGCTTATCCCTAGGATGGCGCTATAACCAAGTTCTACTTATACTGTACTTTTGTTAGGCCAAATTACGGTTCAAATTTTTATATGGTCGCCGCTATTACCAAATAAAGTTCTAATGCAGTTGGCTCGCCGAAAATTTCATCAGCTTGCAAAAACAATGGCTCCCGATTGTATTATTACATTGTATACAAGTTTCCAGACTCATCATCTGCATCTGGTTTTATGTATCTACGTATCCTTGTATTTGTGTTTACACTATGCGCGTTATTGTGAATCAATTCAATTGAATCGCAAAGCTCATCCGGCACTAACTGTTAATTTATGTGTGCAAACATTTTGTAGAGGTCTAGGTATTCATTTAAATAATCGTGAATGCTTTTTTTTGTTTTTATTCATCCTCATACGAAAATGCTTACACTGTGTTTAGGGTTTCAAGCTAAGAAGGGAAAAAGAATCCTTATTATGGTGCTGTCATTCGATAAAAAAAAGGATAACATTCACAAAGTTTTTAATTTTTATTCATCAAATTTGAGGATCAAAAACAGCACTTTCAAATAAAATTATTCGAAGTGGTCTGTATTCTGTCGAAACTGTCAGACGCGGATCGCGATTTCGATCTTTTTGGATCTCATTAGCGCGTCGCAGACAGCTCCGACAGAACACAGACCAACTTTTACCTGCTGTCTTAACAGCGCGTTTTAGAAAATACCACAAATGGCGCGGTAAACGCCATCTGTAGTACGATGCTACATTTTAGGAGTACGTATGCTCCAACAAGGTCTATTTAAATTTCAATTAAATTGTTAGGTTTTACCCGCGGCTTCGCTTGCTTTAATGTCCTAAATATGCGTCAAAGATCATCGACGACCACATGAAACTAATTTTTTGTATCCCTCGGGAACAGTATTTTTTCTGGATAAAAAGCATCCTGTGTCCTTCTGACCCTTTGTGTACAAAATTTCATGATAGGTTCAGAACGATTGAAACGATAACAACCTTTAAATAATTAAAAGAGTGGAAAACATGAATTGAATTAAATGCAGCGTGTTCTTTGATTGACGAGCTGTGGCATTGACCTCTAAGATCAGATTCAACACTCGTATTTTTCGACCGGCATGTCTTAATTGATATTTTTAATTAAATGTTGTTGTGATAGTTTTGCTATGTTTACTTGTAATCCACTTAATTTTGATGGCGTTTGAAGTATTTGGTTGCAAGTCTGCAAATTTATTATCTGTGACATATTAAAATCTCAATTATCATACCAAATAACATAATGATCTTTGGTAGAAATCTGACACCTCACACTGCGATTTAAAATTATATTATATATTTTATGAATTATTTTTATTAAACCTACTTATTTACGTTTTCTCGTTAGTGACCACAAAACGCTTTTGAAAAGAATATTTTCGACTGTTTATTTTTACAGTCCACAACAAATATTTATTACCAATAAAACCATATGTATATTGTTCTTAAAGGAAATTAAATTTTGTTTCGGCTCAGCATATCAAATACTTGGCTATCGTTAGTGGTGTAACTTTTAATGCAGTATTTCAACACAGAATCGGTTAACTGCTAGAAAACTTTTGATTTGGATACTATGTAACGTTTGTTATTATGCAACTTCCTTTCCTTAAATCGGTTAGGATTAAGAAAACGATTTAAGCATTTGTTTTATTTCACTTCAGATCGGGTCATTTGCTAAGAGCATTTTGATGAATTTAGCAATTTATTATTTAGATCGTTGTTAAAAAATCTTTGACGGGATTGTCAATAATAAGCCATCAATTTCTTCTTTAAGGGCTATTAAATAATGCAGACTTCGTAAAAATTAAATCAAAATTACCTTATTTCAGTGACGACTTATAATAATAATCCTCAAAATTGCCCCAAATTTTCTCGAAAAAAAGTGCTCACAAACACATATAACTAACTAATAAGTGCACGAGCTGGTTAGTAAAGACTTCTACCGATTGCAAATTGCAAAATTGAAGTTACGTCTAGACGTTCTTAATGAAGCAACTATACGGAATTGTATGCTGAAAGAGCCCATATATAATAATTAAATCGGCGTCTTGATTATCGCATTGGGTCACAGGGATTATAATAACAAAGAGCAGTTCCAGAATGTAATAGCTGCAAGTAAATAAAATGGGAAAACGATACTGGTGAATGAGTAGTTCCAACAGTTCAAAAAGTTATCACGAGAATGCAAATACGCGGCAAAAAATCAAATATATTCTCTTGGTTAAAATAATTAACGAATTTGTGATAATAAAAATCACAAATAATATTTTTGTTTTTTATATACGTGTGTCCACCTACGTAAGCAAAATCAAAAATATTTTGAAGGTTTACGTAATTGAGCATGAAAAAATGTAATCTACCAGTTGCGAAAATTTATGCCAAAATCCGCATTTTCGCATATGGTATATACGACGTTTTTTCATACTGTTTACATTTTCAAAAACAAAACATCAAAACTTTTCATTTTTTTCCCTGCAAAATAGAATATAATATTATACTGCAATTAATTAGATCATTCAATTTAGGAAGTTTTGTCACAATCAGACGGTTAAAAAACAAACAATTGTTTAATCTAGTAATTTCGCTAAAAAGGCAACACCGTTATGAAGTTAGTATCAGATGAATTTTTTGTTTCCATCTGCGTTTTAAGTAAGAAAAACCGCACGTATTGCAGTGATATTAGTTAGGAACCACAAAAGTCTCAAACGCTGTGGTTACGTGCCCGAAGTATGTACAATTAAATTCTGTTGGCTCATTTTAGGAATTAGGCAAATAAACAGATTACAAATCTATCTTTGGAACTTACAATATTTCTTCGAAAAAAAAAAAGGATAATACAATCGGTGACTCAGGATAAATTACATTATTTCTCAATNGCCAATAAAAAAAAATCTGACGTTTCCATCATTGAACCAATATGTAAATATAATATTTTACCAATATTTTTGTGGTACTGGGGTAGATATTGTGCCTACATATGCATGATATATTGTAACTATATATAAAACATATATTGGACCAATCTGGAAAACAAATATTGGCTGTATTTTTCAAATAAATATTGCACATTTATTATTTCCTAACATTGGAACAATATTTAATTTCAATATTGGGTTAATATTAAAAATCTACATTGGGCCAATAAAAAAAAATCTGACGTTTCCATCATTGAACCAATATGTAAATATAATATTTTACCAATATTTTTGTGGTACTTGGGACACTAAGTATTTTAAAATAGTAAAGTATTTTTGGATTAAAGAGAGGAGTATAAGTAGAAGAAAAGATGGCTTTTTAATTTTTTTCACAGGAATGCTTTCTTATATCTTTTAACAGTAGAAACATATTACCTAATGGTATATTTATTTTCACTTTCATTGTCAGATTTCCTTTTTTGTGGAGCAAACTATACCAAAGACTTTATAGCAATAAATGCGACGATAATCACGACTCCTTTTGTTTGCTGTGGAATTGCTACCTGCCTCCATATCCCGTTGTAAACTTTTTGGGTAAATAATGTTGTTAATATACTGTGTTTTCACACTAGCCTATTTTTCTTAAGTATTATCTACAACTGTAGGGCTAGGGATATACAGGGGCAAGAGATTAGTATGCTTTAAATAAAATGGAAGCGGTATTGACCAAAGAGTACTGTATGAAAATAAAGAAAAGTAAAACAAAAATACTGGTATGCAAGGGAAGAAAAAGTAGGGAAAGAGCGAATATAATGATTGGAAACGAAAAATTACAAGAAGTGGCCGATTTTAGGTATCTAAGAAGTCATATAAGTCAGGACGCGTTGTACGGGTGCGAAACATGGACAGTTGGCGCGGTGGAGAAAAAAAGGTTAGAAACTTTCGGTGTTATAGGACAGGGATGGCGAACCTTTACGTATCGGCGTGCCATTTTTATAAAGAAAAGTTTAATCATGTTATAGACGTGCCATCAAATAACTTTGTCTCTGTGATTATTGCGAATATAATATAATAATAATAAATAATATCAGCTCAAAATTCTTTATTTACTACAAAAAA